GACCGTATATGAAGTCATGTATGGTATATGGGGCCATTCCGACCCGTTTTAGTGGTAAAAACAGGGAGTTGATTTTTCCCCCATTGACTTATAATGGGGAGGTCGCGAAATTGACCTGACCTTAGGTCACCGATATCAAAATTCCGAGATATACAAATTGCACATACTGGTACCCTAACTAAACCCTGAAGAGAAGAAATTGATCGGTCAAAAACTCTAGCTCTGGCGTGATTGCAAACTTTTCTGAGGTAGGGTCACCAAACCGCCTCTGGTGACCTGACCTGAGGTCAGATCAACTCAAAATTTTCAGACATGTTGCGTAGAAGCCTTTTAGGAAAAGTCAGAAAATTTGAGCTTCCTAGCTCAACGCGTTTGGGAGAAATAACCAAAAAACCTCAGGGGGGGGCTCCTGAGGCCCCCCCCCGCCAGGAATAGGGTTAAGATCTGCGAAATACCGCAGGAGGGGGAGTGGTGTTCATGTTTAAACACCTCAAGCCCGCCGCGGAGTCATCCTATACTTGTTTCTGTAGTCTGTACGTGTTTCTATTTCTAAGTGTCGTCCTTCCGTGTTTCTCCAGAATATGCCTCCCTGGATCTTCCCAGATGCCGCCTAGTGAGAACCCAGCGGAGCTTCACTTATAGGGCTGCATCCGCCTGGAACGCCCAATTAACACGCAGTTAGACTGGATAGCACCGGAGAGGCCCAAGTGAATCACCAGCGCTGTGTTTTAAACAAAATGTTTTAGGTCTTGCAATGTGTCTCATTTTTAACCATGCTTTTACCAGTGTACAATGACTGAATTCGTAATACCCACCATGTGGAGAATTCTAATAAATGACTCTGACTCTGACTCTGAAAAGCCAAGAACATAAACATTTTCATGGAGCAAACGGTCTTCGAAGTGGAGCTCAGTTGCCATGTACCCACTCAAGTGCGCTCCGTTTTCAAAGAGCTGAAGCAAAGGGCAAAGAGATAGAAGGGCTCAGAGATCAAGCTTCGGGCCGCGCTGAAGTGAACAGAGCTGTAAAAGGTGTGTGTGGCGAGGGAGGGGGGGGAGGGATAGGCACGACAGGCGATTATGAACTGCGAAGTGTGTGAATAGGGCTAGAGAGAGCTAGCGTCCTACGGCGACCTCGGTGAACACTGAACTGATACGGACTTAAGAGGGAGGAGGGGGGCTGATATGGAGTAGACATGTGCATGGATCCGAGTGATTGATCCATGATCTCAGTGGATCTTAAAGCAAACGACAAGCTTGGATCTATAATCCCATTGTATCCCACGTAGAAAATGTATCCTGAATCTCTGAATCTATGATCTCATTGCATCTTATAACAAACCAAAATCAGGATCTGAGATCCGATTGAATCCCACCACATGCAACCTAATGAAACCATATTTCCATGCGACTTGTTTTGAATTTTGAATTTGAATTTGCGTTGTTTTAAATTTTCTCCGTGTACCAACTGCGCCACTGGAGCCGCCCATATACTCCATGACACCCACAGGGTGTCATGGAGTATATGGAGCCTGTGGGCTCCCTGTGGGTGTCATTTTGGTGACACCGTTATAAGTGTAAGCAGCGCTGTGACACCTTTAAATTACACCCGTGGGTATGCAGTTTAACACACCCAGGCGATTATTCCCCCCAGTATCCCTATGGGTGTCAACTTGGTGACACCGTTATAAGCGTTGTGTTGTGACACCTTTAACCCTATAAGTGGCAGGCTCCTGGCTACCCCATATTAGTGGCAGGGGGGGGGGGCTGTTTACGACCCCCCCCTTGATATCTCGAGATCTAACCGGCCGATTTTCAAAATTCAAACGGCATTCGATTTGGCTCAACGAGATCTACATTTCTAAAAAAAAAATAAAATTAAAAAATGTCAATAGGGGGTAGAGGGGGGTAAAAACGGGCAAATTGCAGATACATTTTAGACTGTTTATCACGGCCAGGTTTCTGAACCAATCTTAACGCAACTTTTGCCGATCGATAGAAAATGAACCAGGAATTCACATGGATCCTAAAAATATGCATTTTCAAAAATCATAGGCGGATACAGATCATTGAGATTGGGGGTACACAAAAAGTATAGTAAATAAGGTTTTTGTTGGCACTGTTTCTAAAAAGGGTGGCAATGGTCTTGTTATGTTACAATTTTCTTATGAGAGAACGACTAAAATTGTATTGGTCATGCATAGGCGGTGTCAGGGCACCTATGTTGGGAGGTAAAAAATAACCCCCCTTTTTGGACGCCTGGATCCGCCTATTATAGCAAAAACGTGTCAAAAGAGGATGCACAATAACTTTGTATATGTTATCACATGATACCTTTCATTCACTGTTCGTAAAACTGGTGCAGCATCGTGATCTTCGCCCAAATGACTCGCTTCACGAATAGGACCCCCCAATTCCCAGTGCTCTGGAGCCGCCCCTGGTAAAGTTATGAACTTGAAATTTTCAGGGAATGTGCCCAATTTAGTTTTAGGAAAAGTCAGAAAATTTCAGCATCGTAGCTTCAGCGGTTTCGGAGATATTCCCGAAAAACCTGAGGGGTGGATAAAAACAACCCCCCCCCTGCCACTAATAGGGTTAAATTACACCCGTGGGTATGCAGTTTAACACACACCCAAGCGATTATTCCCGCCAGTATCCCTACGGGTGTTATCTTGGTGACACCATTATAAGTGTAAATAGGGTATCTGAGGGGAGTCGAAACGCACCCTTGTCTGGGGTGTATGACACCATAGTACGGAAACTGGACACCCTTAGGGATAGTACAATGGTGTATCTTGACGCTCATATAAGTGTTATCTGACACCTTTCAAAAACACCCGTGGGTATGCAGTTTAACCACTTACACCGTTAGCAGTGTTTTAAATTTTCTCCGTGTTGTTTGACGAAGACCGACTCAATTCAGTGCCGTAAAACACGGCGGGGTCAATTAGTCAGCGACAGCGTTGTCAGATTTCTGAATAAGATTTCAATACTCCGATTATCTCATGACTGATGACATGTTGTGAACCGAGACGCATGTAAGCCACCGCGAGGAAAAATAGGCCACACCACGGGATGGAAACGCTCTAAGCACTGTATACCACACGCAACTCAAGTTGGGCGCCAGTAGTTCGGTCCAGGTCTCTCTTACACCCCGAGGGCCGGACTGGGAACAGACCCGGGCGCGGGACCCTCAGGGATCGCTCGGCCGGGGGCGTCGGGCGCGGCCAGTAGGACAGTCAGCCGGCCGGCCGGCGCCCCCCCCCCCCCCACACACAGCCCATGTCACACCGCTGATGGAGTGACTACCGACTCAGCCGCCGCCGCCGCCGCCCCGGGCGCGGCCAGTAGGACAGACAGCCGGCCGGCGCCCCCCACACAGCCCATGTCACACCGCTGATGGAGCGACTACCGACTCAGCCGCCGCCGCCGCCGCCCCGGGCGCGGCCAGTAGGACAGTCAGCCGGCCGGCCGGCGCCCCCCACACAGCCCATGTCACACCGCTGATGGAGCGACTACCGACTCAGCCGCCGCCGCCGCCGCCCCGGGCGCGGCCAGTAGGACAGTCAGCCGGCCGGCCGGCGCCCCCCACACAGCCCATGTCACACCGCTGATGGAGCGACTACCGACTCAGCCGCCGCCGCCGCCGCCCCGGGCGCGGCCAGTAGGACAGACGGCCGGCCGGCGCCCCCCACACAGCCCATGTCACACCGCTGATGGAGCGACTACCGACTCAGCCGCCGCCGCCGCCGCCCCGGGCGCGGCCAGTAGGACAGTCAGCCGGCCGGCCGGCGCCCCACACACAGCCCATGTCACACCGCTGATGGAGCGACTACCGACTCAGCCGCCGCCGCCGCCGCCCCGGGCGCGGCCAGCAGGACAGCCGGCCGGCGCCCCCCACACAGCCCATGTCACACCGCTGATGGAGTGACTACCGACTCAGCCGCCGCCGCCGCCACCCCGGGCGCGGCCAGTAGGACAGTCAGCCGGCCGGCCGGCGCCCCCCACACACAGCCCATGTCACACCGCTGATGGAGTGACTACCGACTCAGCCGCCGCCGCCGCCGCCCCGGGCGCGGCCAGCAGGACAGTCAGCCGGCCGGCCGGCGCCCCACACACACAGCCCATATCACACCGCTGATGGAGCGACTACCGACTCAGCCGCCGCCGCTGCCGCCCCGGGCGCGCTCATTACTGTTCATTAATAAAGCCTAATTAATGTCCTCCTCGTCTGCCTATTGTTGGGCAGCTGCGGAATTTAGTATCGGCCTTCTGTTCTCTGTAATTACGGTGACGATAAACAGCGAACGATGGAGAGAGAGAGCAGGGGCTCCGATAAACTCGTATATCGCCTCCGAGAGGGCCGTTCCATCCCTGCCCGATCCACGCCGGCCCTCACCCATTCGACCGGTCGTAACCCACTCCAAAGCACCTTCCCAACTCCTTGAAACACCCCTCCCCGTGCTGAAGGAGCCCCGTCGCTGAGCGGCAGGGGACGCCGCTAAGGTCATCCATCAAGACCACAGCCAGGTGGGTATATCGGCCGGGCCGGGACGACGGGCCGACTGACGTCTTTTTGTTGGCGGGCGGGCCGGCGCGGTCGGCCCCAGTGAAAGCAGGGCCGGACGGGTCGGGGTGACTTGGTGCAGTTGACGTCATGTAGAGTGGTTCACCTCGTCAATCAGAGCCGCGAGTGGAGAAGCGCCGACTTGGAGTGCTCGGAAACCGGCGGAGTTTGTGAGGGATTTTGGATCTGAATCTGAAGGAAGGAGAGTGAATGTCCGGTGCCTTATTGGTTGTGGAGGGTTCGGAGCATGCTACGGCATTTGTTGGAATGGAGGCAGGAATAAATAGCATTGTTAGCTAAAGTGTGAGTGCAACAAGAAGACCAAAAGAGACAAGACATGGCGACGTCATTTCGAAAATTTTCTTGACCTGAACTTCGAAACAGCAACAGCACAACACAAGCAGCAGCCACATTTGGCCATCGATTCTACTCACTCGTGGCAGGACGTTGAAGACGAAGCTTCTAGGGTACCCTCGTCTGAAAGGTAGTGGACGGCCCTCCTCGTTCAGCCGGCACCTCGGCCCAGAGACGGCGGTCTGAGGAAACGTCCTCACCCGAGCACCGTGACCACTGGAAGCGCTCGTCGCCGACGCCAGGCCCACTATCTCCTCCAGTTCCGGACCCTCGGACAGTAGAGGCGATGGCACAGCGCGCTAGGCGGCAAAATCGCCCCTAGGCGCAACTCCGCAACAAGAGGACACTGACGCACGAGTCGGTCGCTGCGCGGGGGACCACATCCTGGGCCGCTATCTGCAGCGGAGGGGCTGAAAACATGTCAGCCCGGACGGACGGACGGCGCCTCGGCCCCGCACCAGTGTCTCCCGGGCAGACACACTGAAAAACAATTGAACACCGTTAACTGGGTAAGTGGTTATTCTGCATACCGGAGTTTATATATACCCAATAATGGGTGTTCAGGGAGCCTTTGACACCTTTAACCGTGTATGACAGGCTTCATGACACTGTAATAAGTGTAACAGTACACATTTAAATGTGTCTGACACTCATCATACACTGCAAAAATTCCCCACCCCGTTTTTAAATTTTATCAGTGCAATATACGATAATACTAAACAATGTTTCATGGCTGCGACAACTGAGCTACATGCAAAACAGCTATCGCAACGCGACCCAAATCGTAGCCACATGAGACTCAAGAAAGGCACGAAAACTCGCCAATTAGGACCTCAAATGCTTTCATTTTGACCGTCTATATCACAGAACGGATATTACACACAGGACGGCCGGAACAGCCAAATGTGGTGAGGGAAACGACTAAGGAAGCCGCCGTCTCCGGGATGCACTCAGATAGATCTCTAACGATTTGAATGAAATCGTTCCTTTCAAAGACTGAGTCAAGCTTTGAAGTTACACTGAAAAAATAATAATGCCTGTGGGGAATTTTTGGGGTATCGGACACCGTTATGACACCCGTGAGGGTGTACGTTCTGCTAACATATATCTCACAGATCTTTATATAACTCCTAATAAGCATTCTTAGGGTGTATTTGGAGTGTCAGATAACCCAAAAACACCCATGCAAAGTGTCAACTTCATTATTAAAGGGAGTTTGTGAGGTGTACAAAACTAAGCCAACACCTTTAAGAGTGTCAGTTTGATATTTGACACCTACATAATGCCAGCATTACTCCCCACAATAATTTTACAGGTACCTATCTGGAAGGTGTAGAAAAATCCCACTTACAAATTTCAACAGTGTTTTAGGGGTGATAAACACCGTTCATATTACCATCGTACTCCCTTGACCACTTTTTGAGGAGTATCCCTCGCCCTGGCAGGACATTTTTCATAACACGGCCTGACAGGGGGGGTCGATGCGACCCCCCCTCGCGATTGGCTCCTATGGCATCTAGAAACACCAAATTTGGTAGGTAGGTGGGCCCCCTAGAGTTCTCGCCCCTGTGCAAATTTGGTTGCTCTAGGTCAATATTTAGGGGGTTTGGGGGTTATAAATGTCAAAATTTCGCTAAAAACAGGTCAAAAGTTTTTCGCCTATAACTTTTGATCTAATTAAGATAGAGCAAAAAGTAAAGTACCAGTGAACTCAGCACGTCAAGGCGCGTCAAATGATGTAATTTTAAGCTTGCTTAATTCTACTTAAAGTTTTTCTTAATTTTTAAGTAAACTTTAACCCGCGCCCCAGTGGCGGTCTCAGCCAACTTCGCCCTAGTGAGGGGGGGCATATGTTACCACCCACCTCTAACTCAAAAACTAAGAGGGCTAGAAAGACGCGGTAAAAAGCAGTCGATAGCTCTCAATGTGTACGTTTGAAAGTATTTCAGTCATTTTTCATCTTAGAGCAATATTGGGGTCACCAGAGGTCATCAAAGGTCAAAATCTGCCAATGGTCATTATATTTTTCAGATAATATGCCGTTCTTTCAGGAACTATGGTAGCTAGAAAAACGCATGGAAAAGCAATCGATAGCTTTTGAACTCTTCTTTTGATAAAGTCATTATCAAAATTGACCTCAGGTCAACGGTTTAGCCTCCAGAGGGCAAAAACTCCAAAAATAGCTGTTTTTACGAAAAGTGTTTTTCGACAATAACTTTCGACTACAAAAAGCCACGACATTTTTATTGCCAGAATCGTGTTCCTCTCGCCGAGACGCGTCGAGTGAACTATAATTTGACCTTGAAAGGTCAACTAGAAAATTTGACCTCAGGTCAAGGTCATGACCTGGCCGGAAAAGGTCATGTTGCATATCAATCGATGCGTCTCAACAAGACAAACACAATGAGACCGTCCCCAGCGTTCTATCTCTTTCCAATCGCGAGTTATTGGCAAAAATCTGTTTGTAGCCTCAAATGACCTCGGATGACCTTTCTAGAGGCTATCAGCAAAAATGACACCTTGGTCATCACGGGTGGTCCAAATGATTGTGATTCTGAAATATTTGGACTGGGCCTATGCGTACACACGGATCTAGAGGCATTTTCATTTTTCTCCATTGACTTGTAATGGTAAGGTCACGCCACTGACCTGACCTTAGGTCACAGATATAAAAAATCGGAGATTTACAAATTGTAGGCGCTCATAACATCATGCAATCCACCAAGTTTAAAACCTTTCTGACAAACACTGCAGGCTGGACATGATTGCAAACTTTGTTTTAGGCTTGGTCAGTTAACTTGACCTGGTGACCTGACCTGACATAACCTGGGGTCAAAAATTTCACACATTGTCCAAAATTGATGTACCAAAAGCTACCCCAAGCGGCGCGGCGCTACGCACCGCGGTTTTTTATTCACACGCCAAAAACGCGACAGGGTGGTAACATATGCCCCCCCCCCACTGGGGCGAAGGTTAATTAATCAATTAAGTTAATGTTAACCAAATTGCATCATATCGCATATCATTCGATTTGGCTGATCAGCAGGAACACAATGACACCATTTTTAAGCTCTAGCGTCATTACAGTGGCCGCAAAAGAAATCTTGACAAAGGTCAAATACAATGCAAACGCAATTAGCGAACCTGCTCGTATATCTCTCGTACCAGAGGTACTGGCGAATTCTTTTGACTTGGATATAATACGCATGGCCTCATCTTGCGAAATAAACAACAAGACTGTGGTCAGCGATCATTGTCAGGGAAGATACACCCTGTCTTGGAGTGCCTTTGAGGTGGTGCTTGTTTATCCCTATGGGAAAAAGATGAAACAAGTCAAAGACACTCCAATTCAGGGTGTATCTTTCCTGATAATGATCCCTGACCACAGTGTTGCTGTTTATTTCGCAAGTTGAGACCATATGTATTATGTCCATGTCAAAAGAAGTCGCCAGTACCCCCCGTACCTACAAGAGATATAGGAGCGGCTCGCTCATTGCGTTTGCATTACATTTAACCTTTGTCAAGATTTTTTTGCGGCCACTGTATGTGCCAAGTTATTGGCAAAAACGTCATTTGACCTCAGTTGACCTCATTTGAACTGACCCATGGATAAGTACACCAAACAAAGAAGCACCAAGTGACCTAATATTAAGTACTGTGGTTTTAACACGCGCAGTGGAAGGGTTGCGAGTACTACGCCCAGTGGAAGGGGGGGGGGGGCGGATGTCGCCCCCCTAAGATCTCAGCTCCCAGTGGAGCTAGAAACACGAAATTTAGAGGGTAGGTGGGGGCCATGGGGAACTCTGTTGTGTGTGAATTTCATGACCCTAGGTCAATATCTTCAAGGTCAAATGAGGTCAAATGTGGTCAAATCTGCCATATTAGCGACTTTTTTGCGTTTACACGCCGATAACTGAAAAAGTTATCGGCCGATTTTTTTTAAATCTTTCACTATACGAAAGAAAAAACATTTGCGAGTATGTATGGTGAATTTCTAGATAATCCAACAATAAATATGGCAGTTAGAAGCCTGCTAAGGGTAAGATGTCGCCGGCTGAAGCGGCATCGGCCGACGCGGGAAAAGCGGCAATCACAATTTTGTGTTTACATACTCATAACTCAAGTTGTTACCGGCCGATTTTCAAAATTCTTTAACCATATGATTGCCTGTACATTTCTCAGTCTTCCCACCGAATTTGACGCGAATCTGATATAATCAGCGGTAAGGAGCGCGATGTAAAGACGGAACCGTCCCGCCCCGGCACAGTCTACAATTCAGGCGGCGCGTAACGGCTAGCGCCGGCCGCCGCGCCGCCGCGCCGCGGCGGCGGCAGGATGTTTGACTTTACACCGCTATTACTAGAAAAGTTGTGAACCGATTTTCTTACTTCTTACACGAGAAGATCCGCAATTCAATTCTGGACAGGTAGCCGAAATTTCACATTGATATTATGCTTGCGACGCGAGTTATTGGCGAAAAACAGGAGGGGTGGGCGAAATCCGCCCCCCCCCCCTTCCACTGCGCGTGTTAACCCTCGCCCTGGCAGGGCATTTTTCATAACACGGCCTGGCAGGGGGGGGGTCGATGCGACCCCCCCCCTCGCGATTGGCTCCTATGGCACCTAGAAACACCAAATTTGGTAGGTAGGTGGGCCCCATGGAGTTCTCGCCCCTGTGCAAATTTGGTTGCTCTAGGTCAATATTTAGGGGGGTTTTGGGGGGTATAAATGTAAAAATTTCGCTAAAAACAGGTCAAAAGTTTTTCGCTTATAACTTTTGATCTAATTAAGATAGAGCAAAAAGAAAAGCACCAGTGAACTCAGCACGTCAAGGCGCGTCGAATGATATACTTTTTAGCTTGCTTAAGTGTACTTAAAGTTTTTCTTAAATTTTAAGTAAACTTAAATTAATAAATTAAGTTGAAGTTAACCAAATTGCATCATATCGCATATCATTCGATTCGGCTGATCACCAGGAACACAATGATACCATTTTTAAAGCTCTAGCGTCATTATGTGCCAAGTTATTGGCAAAAACGTCATTTGACCTCAGTTGACCTCATTTGACCTGACCCATGGATAAGTAATCCAAACAAAGAAGCACCAAGTGACCTGCTGTTAAGTACTGTGGTTTCAAAGCACAAAAGTGATAGAACGAAGCGGATATCTCCAGTATTTTCCGAATTTAGTATTTTCCCATAGGCTT